ACCTCTATTTCGTACTAATCTAACCTATTTTGGGAGAATCTAACCTATTTTGTGTAAACGGTTTTAATAATAAGAAAAATATTTTGATTTTAATTACCAAAGTAAGCAATATATCTAAAACTTTAAGTTTTTGGATACATGAAGTAACCACTTTCTTATATACAGGGTGTTTCATACCAGGAGGCGAAAAATGAAATTCTATATTCAAAACGTCATTCTAAATAAAAATCTTTAATACTTTTTTGTTCTATCATTTTTCGTTTTCGAGTTATTCGACTTCAAAGTTTTGAATTCAAACAATGAAAGGATAACAATATGCAATAATAGGATTCATAATTCTAACAACCAAAATATACATCCATGGAAACGTATATGTGGTCTTCTGCCTTATTTGTCATACAACCTGTCAGTTTATTGTAAATTTATAAACAAAATGGAATTTACGAATGAAGAATATGCAGACATTGTTTTTATTTACGGGTACGCAAATGGAAATGCTTCTGCAGAATATCTGCGTAGATTTCCAAATAAACGACAACCATCCCGCCGTGTATTTTCAAACGCATATCAAAGACTCCGAAGAAATGGTATTGGAAGCAAGCATACAGGAGGTGCGAACTTCAGACACAATGCTGGTCAAGAAGAGCAAGTAATTGACGCTGTACTTAACGAACCCGGCATTAGTACCAGACGTATTGCTAGTAGGCTGGAAGTTTCTCATAGCTTTGTTTGGAGAACCATACACCGAGAAATATTGCACCCGTACCATAAGCAAAATGTTGAGCATTTGCAGCCAAATGATCACGAGCCACGACTTCTGTATTGTCAATGGCTGCTTTGTCAACATGAGCAAAATCCAAATTTTATTTCTTCTATTGTATTCTCAGATGAAGCTACTTTTACCAGAAATGGTATTAATAATACTCATAATGAACATGTATGGTCGTTGGAAAATCCACATTCTATGAGAGTGAGACATTTCCAACAGAGATTTTCAATTAATGTCTGGGGTGGCATTTTCAACGGGCGAATTTTGCCAATTATAGTCCTTCCCAATAGACTAAATGCCGAATCTTATTTAATGTTCTTAAAAAATGAACTTAATGAAATGCTGGAAGATGTCCCTGTGGGTTTGCTAAATCGAATGTGGTTTCAACACGATGGGGCACCACCCCATATTGGTAGAAATGTAGTGAATTGGTTGAATAACAACTTCAATGGAAGGTGGATTGGTAGACGTGGCCCAATATTGTGGCCTGCTAGGTCACCGGATTTAAATCCGCTTGATTTTTATTTATGGGGACACATGAAACAGCTTGTCTATGCAGTCGAAATTACCACCGAAGAGCAGCTTATGCAAAGAATAATAGATGCGGCGGAGCAAATACAAAATGTACAAGATTTTGGACGAGTTTACAATTCTGTTGATTTGCGGTGCCAAGCTTGTATTAATGCTGAAGGCCATGTTTTTGAAAATGTCCTGTAATATTACAGATAAAAATAAATAGTATAAACTACAAATTGGTTAATTGTCAATCAATAATTCTTGCTGACATATTAGCAATAAACTGACAGGTTGTATTACTTAAATAAGGCAGAAGACCACATAAGGTTATTTTTTTTATCTGGACTGGTGTTTTTTTATTAAGTTGGTTGTTTATGTCAGTTTGATTAGTATTTTTAGGATTGGTATCTCTGTTTTACATAATTTGACAGTTTTTGTCAAATCATTAAATTTAAACAGAGGAATATCAAACTCCAATGTATTTATGTGATTTAAAAAACGTCTCTGTACAAATAATTATCCTACAGGACAATAACGAAATACTATTTTGGTCAAAAACCTATTAAAAGGCAAATATTTTTTGATTTCTTAACCACAAATATTATTATTATTATTATTTATAGCTGCCAATATAAGTCCAGATAAAAAAAATTAACTGTATTATAAACTTAAATACTTATACGTTTCCATGGATGTATATTTTAGTTGCTAGAATTATGAATCCTATTATTGCATATTGTTATCCTTTCATTGTTTGAATTCAAAACTTTGAACTCGAATAACTTGAAAACGAAAAATGATAGAACAAAAAAGTATTAAAGATTTTTATTTAGAATGACGTTTTGAATATAGAATTTCATTTTTCGCCTCCTGGTATGAAACACCCTGTATATATATATATATATTGTTTTTAATTTCAAACACTATTTTTGTTAAATTAAATTACGTTTCTTTTTGTATGAACGCAAGTAAATTAAATTAAATTATATTACGTTATTTCTCTGTTAGAACCTATAAACTAAGTTAAGTAGGCCTCGCTCAACCGGCGCCCTGGGCCCTAACGCCGCTACTGCTAATGCAGATTTTTCTTAAATCTCTTAAAAATAGGTGAATATCCATTGAATTGGGATATATCCCTTAAGGTGGAAATAGTGGTTGCCAGCTCCACTGAAAGCTAATTCAACCATTATGTATTGAGATCTATAATCAATTTTTCCTTTAGCACCACCTAAAGAATATGAGTACCTTAGATGCAAAACTCGGTTTTTGCAAATTAAAAAATAAAATAAAATTGACTTTAAATTCTGTTTAGTGTTCGTCCTAGATAAATGGCGTTTATAAAACTTGATACATAATAATATATATAATATAATATTATTATGTATCAAGTTTTATGAACGCCATTTATCTAGGACGAACACTAAACAGAATTTAAAGTCAATTTTATTTTATTTTTTAATTTGCAAAAACCGAGTTTTGCATCTAAGGTACTCATATACTTATGAGCTAAAATATATAGAAATTATAAAAATGTAGTACTTTTGCCTTAAAACCAGCTATACCCTTAGAATGGAGGAAAGATACAATAATTTCAATCTCTAAACCCAACTTGGACCATACAAAGGTAAAAAACTACTGGCCCATTACACTACTTCCCAATATTAGCAAGAACCTTGAAAAGTTGATTGCACACCTTCTCCTTGAAAAAGTTAATGAAAAAATTCCCATGTGCCAGTTCGGATTTCAAGAAAATAAAGCCACAATTCACCCTCTGATAGTATTAGCCAACAAAGTAAAAGCAACAAAAATTAAAGGTCAAAAAACAACTGCTCTATTTTTGGATATAAATAAAGCATTTGACAGTGTATGGCACAAAGGACTTATATAATATATTATATATTAAAATATTATATTATAATATTATTAGCTAAGAAAACTTGACTGTCCGCACTGGCTCATCAAAATAATCCAAGAATTTTTGGTAGACAGAGAAATAATTATAAAAATTAATGAGAGGACATCAAAGAATATATCACCCCAACAGGGACTACCTCAAGGATCACCATTATCTCCTATTTTATACAACATCTACTGTTACGACATATACAATAAAGACCCAAAACATTTCGACTTCGACAAATATGTGCTACAATACGCCGATGACAATGCAATAGTAGCTCACGGAAAAACTAAAAAAGAGGCTTTAGCACGGCTACAAAATTTGACGGACAAAGTATGCCTTTGGTTCAACAAATGGACACTCAGACCTAACCCTAACAAATCACAACTCATAATATTCCACCAAAATAAAACTTATCCAAATGATCGAATCAGGTTATAGAATCACACAGTCACACCAAGCCAATCAACCAAATATCTGGGCATTAATATAGACAGCAAACTAAACTTTAAGTCGCACTGTAACATAATGAAAAAACACAGTTAATAGAGTGGCTCACTTTAGATCTTTAAAAACTTACTGCAAAAAAAATATATACCATGATATGTCGTCCCATCCTGGAATATGGAAGTATCTTATTCATGAACAGCACCAAAACCTGCCTTAAAAACTGGAAGTTGCAGAAACAACAGCAATCAGAAAAATGACAAAAATCCGACACCCAACAACCCCCTCCATAACTCACCAAACACCCTCCTTTATGAAATTATTAATATTCCCAATATCCTTACACCCTACAAGAACTCACCCAAAGATTTAAAGGATCAGAATCTAACATCAAAAACATAGAAACAATGTGCATCAAACTGTGGGAAATATTAAAGGAATAGAATATGAGTATTATGATAAAATTTGTTAATTTTTTTCTTTTTTTTTATATCAGTACAAAACATTTTTTTTATAGATATATTATTTTTTTTATAGGTAGGTATATATATTTTTTATTGATATATACCTATAAAAAAAATAATATGTTTCTAATAGAAACTTTCTATTCAATGTTTTAAAGAGTTGTAAGTTGTAAATGGGCAGAAGGACCTAGGTAGATAGCCCTTTGGTTAACCTAATAAAGACTTTTTTTTTAAATCAACCAAATTTCATCATTTTGGGGTCCTTTTAAAGATTGGTTGGCCTAATAGGTCAGAGTTATATAAACCGGGTTTAAATGTGTGGTAATGATTATGCAACTTTGATTTTGCAATTATTGTATGATCACCCTGCTTAAAATACCCCATAGAGACCCTGTTCAAACCGATAGATATTTGTATCGGGATGTATGGTGTTTCTATAGGGTGTATCGGTTTGTATAGGACCCGTAGTTGAGATTTATGGTTGTTCTATAGGGATATCCACCATTGATTTATTTGCTATCGGTTTCAATGGGGAAAATACACATAAATGTAGAAATTAGTTTTTTCCCTATAGGACCCCATAGGTTTTAATAAAATTTTGTCAAATGTTTTATGGTTGCTCTATAGGGATATCCCTATATATCCTTCATTGAGTTATTTTTTATCGGTCTCAATAGGGAAAATGTAAAAGTTATGGTGTGCCTATAGGTAATTTCCTATACATTTTCTATCGGGCTGTATCCGGAAAAACCCATGGACAAATGCACATATAGAATCCGGTAGCGCCCGATAGATTATTTTGTATAGGTCTCTATGGGGTATTTTAAGCAGGGCACAATAACCAGTATTAGGTATATTTACTAATAAGATAATAGATTGTTTTTAAGATTTAATATATATATACCTTTTCTTTTCCTTGTTTTTAACTATATTTGGTTTAAAAACAGCATTTTCTTGATTTAAAATTTCTACATTATAATTTTTTCTTGTTTGCTCCTTTAACTTATTGTCAAGCATATTGCACAATTTGTCTCCGAACCCTTTAAGAATTTTGCAGTCTCTTCCTGTTTCTAATGGAAGAGGATATTTTTTTAGAGATTGAAGGGCGGTGCTAAAACAAAACTGCAAATTGGAATTTTTCTCTTTGGCAGCATCTCTCCACTCAGTAATCCATTTTTCAAATAAGGGATTTGAATTTTTGTATTTAAAACTTATTCTTTCGTCCTCAGCCATGTTTAGAAACTTTTATTAACATCTGCACTAAACTTGATTATGCTCGATTTATTTAAGAATTTTACATTTTTAAGAGCCGTTTCACATGCGACTGATAAAGTCCTGACGATCAGTCCTGATGGTCAGTCCTGATGACTAGGGGCCATTGTTTAAATGAACTTTTTCACATGCACTGCGTATCATCGGTTGACTGATTCGTCGGCACGGGAGGAACGCCTAAATGCAGGAATGGGCTCCATCTTAATATAATTTTTGCGTAAAATAAAACAAACCAAATCAAACCAAACCCAACCAACCCAACCCCCCGTAACCGCCCTATTGAAGCCTAACCACCCTATTGAAGACGATTATTCCTTCGTGCATTGCCCTTTATCTCGAACTTTGTTACCGATGGAATAATCGTCTTCAATAGGGTGGTTAGGCTTCAATAGGGCGGTTACGGGGGGTTGGGTTGGTTTGGTTTAATTTTATTTTACGCAAAATTTATATTAAGATGGAGCCCATTCCTGCATTTAGGCGTTCCTGGCACGGGCATCGGGACAGCCCGTGCGCACTGCGTACCGTCAGGACTATTAAGGGCTGTTAATTATATGGAGTATTTCATATGGTACGTACGGTCAGCAGAAACAGTGTTGCACAATGAGTAGTTTACGCATTGATACTGAAATTGTAATAAATAGCATCGAACAGCGAAGATGCATCTGGTATGCAGATAATGAGAACTACAAAAATAGGGATGCAAAGAACAAAGCATTTGAAGAAGTAGCGTAAATAGTAGTTCCGGATTTTGAAAATTTTGCGAAAGCAAAGAAGAACTTTTTTGCGTTGTATTATTCTCTTTATACAAAAAGCGGCAACAGCGCAGTTCCGGAGGCGCTGAGAACCGTCTCGGTAGTAGACATTTGCGTACTATACGTTGCTTGTGAAACAATGGTCATGACCGTCAGTCCGTATCATCAGGACTGATCGTCAGGACTTTATCAGTCGCATGTGAAACGGCTCTAAGGGACAATCAAAACAAAAAACAAATTATAACCTCACTAAACAATTCTCCCTGTAGGGTCTATAGACCATTCTCAAGGAGCGCGTTCAAATTTTGAACATCAAAAACAAAGATCAAAAGTCGTTTTTTCGCGTAAATACCATGAAATACCATGGTTATTAAACTTAACCTTGGTTAATAGTTAAGGCATTTTTGCGTTTAGAGTGCGTTCAAAAATCCTAACTATGACGTCACAAATACCAAACCATAAATAGTATATTAAAGTACAAGTTGCAGAAGGCCACATATTCTCGCACGAATTCGAAATTTGGCCTCGAGCGACGAAGGAGCGAGTGGACGAACGAATGAGTGCGAGAATAGCCTTCTGCAACGTGGGATTTATACTATTTTCTCGATTTTAACTTTTATTTAGGTTTTTTTAATTGTTTTGTGGTCGTTGCTAGTTAGGGGATTTTTCTCGCAAAATGTCAGTTGGCAACACAAAATGACAATATTTGTTATCCTGCACAAGTACAACCTGAACTGCACTTTTACACATTAAACTTAAAATTTTGCATTAAAATGCATTGTTGGAGCAAACTTTATATTACAAAACAATAATAAAGGCTTCATTTTCAATAAAAGTAATGAATTTGAGGTTATTAATCAGTTTGACATTTTGGGGGTACCAATACTTAAAAACTAAATGTTACCAAAAATCGTTTAAGAATGAGCTTCATTCTTCAACGATTTTGCGTGCGAGAATATGACATTCTTACATAAAAATCGAGAAACTATTTTTTTATATATCGCTGAGCTAGTTATTCAACGTGGTTAATAGTCTTTCTCTTTTTAATATATATTTTTCTCTGTTTCGATCTGTCAAAAAGTTGTTTACATTTGAAATTTAAAATATTTTAAGTAGGTAAACCGAATTTAAACTTTGTATTAAAATGGAAAACGGGGTGTTGTCAGTAAAAATAAATGATAGGGTGCTCCATATTGTGGAATCTCCACAAGTGGAGGAATTATATGCAGGTTTCTTTTATATTCTTCCTTATTTTGTATTAAACATGTAGGAGAATTGGATAACGTTTATTGAAAAAACTAGTACCTATAGAAAGAGAATATGTATACTAGGTATAAGAAGAGGCAAATAAATTTATTTACACCGGTAAAAGCATAGAAATTAAATATAAATAGGTAAAAACACATTTAAAAAATTATAGGTTATGAACAAGTAAACAAATGTCAAATGTTAGAAACCTAACCATGGTTATATGAATTAACTGTGACGTCATGACTTATTTAACCGTAGTATTACCTAGTATTTACGCGAAAAAACGACTCAAAAACTCGCAAGAGTGACTCTGCACAGCTTTGCCAACCTTTTCGTTGGAAAAATCCTGAGTTCTATCGTCAAATATCCGTAGAAATCCGTGAGAGGAGGGTAAAATCCGAATATTTATCCATACCACTGTGTGGATTGTGGGTGTACCCAAAGATAATACACCCCATTATTATCTTTGGGTGTACCATTAAATCGAGAAGTTGGTACCACTGTTTGTTTTGCTTCACATTGCAACACTGCCTTCAATAAAACCAGCCTGGCAACACTGGATATAACCTAAAAATAGTTGTGTTCTGTGTGTCGTACTTGGCAGTAATATACGGTTCTTATTATTGTTTAATATCACAGATATGTAATATGGATGCAACAGTAGACGATTTTTTAAATGAAATTAACGAAATTGTGCCTTTGAAGGAGAATACTGGCGGTAAGTTTTTTAAAATTGATTTTTTGAACTAGAAGAATTTATTGGGCCATTTTAGCTTGGCAAGAATGTTTCGATGAGCAAAGTGGTTTTCATTATTATTGGAACACAAAAACAGATAAGGTTACATGGTCAAAACCAGATGAATACATACCAATGAATAAATCTTTAAAAACCAACATTTTACCCAATCGGCCACAAATTCCATTTGAAAAAGCAAATAAAATTTACAAAATTGGGCAAACCAACTTGCCAGTAGTAGTAGCTGATTTGAGTAAAAAAAACAAAAAGAAAAGTAAACCACAAACAAATAAGGAGATAAGCCAATGTAAAAGACCTGTCAGTGATTCTGAAGATGAGTATGTAGTTTAAATTTGTTTTGTTACATACAATTTTGCAACCAATTTTTTTGTTTTTAGAAAAATTGTTTTGATATCATCATATGGTGAAGACACTGATTCAGAAAATGATGAAGAACCAGTAAGTAATTATTTTTATTTTACAGTAGGTATGTTATTATTTGGACCTGCATAAGGGTTTATTAGCAAATGTCCTTCCAGCATTATTTTAAGTGTAAAAATTTGATGACATATTTTGAAGTTAAAATGTATTTAAAGTATAGGTATTAATTTTCAAATTATAACACTCATAAGTCTATATAGAAAATGTTTGTTTTCACATTAAATTACAAATAAGTCACTCTAATGAAATCATTGAAAAAAATTGTTGCTGCACTACTAATACAACTGTATTTACAATGTTAATTGGACTCAGGTAATAAATTAATAGCAACTAACATAAAGAAAGAAGAAAGAAAGAAAGAAAGAAAATACGTTTATTTTGAAAAATCCAGAGAGTGCACGTTAACACTCTATACGGATTCATCCTCTCACAACAATACAACAAAAATATACAAACAATAAAAAATAAAAATATAAAAGTAGTAGTAGTAGATATTCATTTCACATTTCGTCATGTTTTAAAAGCTTAAGCTAGTTTCTATCAGTGTTGCCACCTATAACTTTTTTTTCGTAATAGACACATGCGTCAAAATGTAATAGATTTGGGATTTTTGGTAATAGACTATTTTGAATCAATTTTTTTTAATTCTTTGACGTTTTACCGTTGTCATTAGATTAAAATTGAATTTTTATTAATGATGCTTTATAATCTGTGCATGATGCTTATGCTATTTTAATAAAAACTTTATGAACACAAATTTAAGCACACAACAAACGTCAAACACTCAAGCAGTGTTGCCAAACGTACGATAATTTTCCATAGAAAGAATAATTATCCTTTTTGTACGATAATAATTATACGTAGGTACGTACAATGTACGTAATCACATGTAAGATAAAATTAAAATGTACAAAAATTTCATGCAAATCAAATTGCGCAAGAGAAACTACCCAAAATTAACAAAATCTTAATCTTTTGTATAAAAAATAAGTTTATTTTAATTAACTCTTTATTTTTTATTTTTTTTTTAAATAATAAATTTAAAATATATAACAAGATTTAAACACTTATATTAAAAAAAACAAGAAAAATTTAATTCTACAATAGTTTTGATGCGCTGCGACAATAATCTTTTGTGGGCTGTCTGGCAAGTTGCCAGTGGCAACAATAAGACCACAATAGAATATTTAAAAAAAATTCCTACTAGGAAAGAAAAAAGTAATAGATTTACATCGTTTCGTAGTAGGGTAATATATTTTCGCTAAAAGTAACAGATCTATTACTAAAGTAATAGGGGTGGCAACACTGGTTTCTATACTATAGATAGGTACATTACATGTTTGATAATGCAAGGACGGAAAAGAGAATAAAAATAAAATAAAATGACAATACCCGTTGAAACACCCTAGCTTGGAAGTCTAACCCGAGGCGTCCCCCAAAGCCCGAACAACAACCATCAGTGCGGTCTGAGCATAGACCACACTGGTGACCATTACAGCTCAGACTCCAAAAGATATCTCAAGTCAGACTCCAGAAAACATCTCAAACCAGACGTAAAACCCCTAATGTGTTTGTTTCTGATTTCAATAGGCAACGCATTGTAAATTTTGACACCATTATGATATATGCAACCTTTACCTCTCATTGATAAAACCCTTTCTAGGTTTACATCAGACTTATGACGTGTGTTATGGTCATGGTAGTCGTTGCGAAATTTTAATGAAATATTGGAATGGCGAGTATTAAGATTAACTTGGTGTATATAAACAGATACCTGGTATTTATAGATGTTTTCAAGAGGCATAACATTATAGTTTACAAAAAGAGCTTTTGTGCTGTATCTAATTGGGAGGTTGTATATATTTTTTATCGCCCTATTTTGCAAGATTTGAATAGGCACAATAAGGCCTTTACGTGCAGGATACCACAGTGCAGTCAAATACTGAAGGTGACAATGGACAAGCGAAAAATACACAGACCGAAGTAGTTGTGCTGGCAACATAAAACTTAGTCGCTTCAACACTCCCACCGGCGCAAGTAGTCGTTGTCTTAATTTTAATAAGTGCTTTTCCCAGGAAAGGTTTTCATCAATGTAGAGGCCCAAGTATTTTATTACATTAGAATATTGTAGATTGTCATTTCCAAACAAAATAGGCAATTGATCAATGGGCTTATAGTGGCTATGAATAAACATATATGATGATTTTTTTACATTGAGTGATAATTTATGAGTTATAAGCCAGTTATGTATTATTTCCAAATCAGTTCTTATTTTTTGTCTAATGACATCTAAAGATTTATCATAATACACAAGCATGGTATCATCTGCATATAGTTTTATTTCACCTAGCAAATTAAGGTTAGAGACAGAATTAACATAAATAAGAAATAAGGTGGGGCCCAAGATGGAGCCCTGTGGCACGCCGCATTCAATGGAAAGGCCGGAGCTTTTCACGCCATTGATATTAACAAGTTGTTTCCTTTCTGACAAATAATCCGCAAACCAATTATTGCAAACACCGCGCATACCAATGAGCTCCAACTTTTTCAACAAAATCTCGTGATTCACCGTGTCAAACGCCTTCCGTAGGTCCAGCGACACTAGTGCAGAAGCGTTTCCCTGGTCCACCTGCATCTGGACATCTGATATAAGATCGATGGTTGCTGATGCAGTGTCGCTGGACTAAAGATACCAAAATCATTAAATTGGGCGTTTCACGAAATGTTGGAAGAATACACTACAAGCAAATTTAATGAGAAGACCTATTGTGGTCCACAATTTGTGGACAATCTTTATCTAAGTTGCTATTAATTTATTTGCCTGACTCCAATTAATTTTGTAAATACAGTTGTATTTACCATAGATAACAAAGCCTTATTTACTTCTTCTTCTTCTTTCTTGTTACCATGGACTCGCGTCATGAGACGGCCGCCAAAAAAAAAGTGCTCAATAAAAGGTGTGCCTTTTGACACGTCTGGATTATTCCATGCCTTTTATAGTGGTGCTCATTTTAATGTCCAATAATTTCAGCATCCATCCATCATTGGACTACAATTGTCGGACAAAACACGTGCCAACATATAGGTTATCTAACCTTGAAATTTATATGTTTATATAAATTCCTCTATTCCTTTAAAAAAGGACAAAACGAGGAATATTATCTAGGACTGGAATCCGATTTTGTCCTCCCTGAGTCAAAGTCAACTATATTTCACACTTTTTCATGGAGCTAAGCACGAGCGATGCGCTTCTCACCGAGGATAAAATCGAACTCCTTGTATTAACTTATTATTCACTTTACACCACCATATAACCTTTCACATATAACCAATGATTTATTATGTATGCAAAAACGCATGCGCTGTATGATTGTGATACTTTCTACGTATTCGCTTGTCATACATACCTACGTACGATGGTTTTAGGAAATGATGACATTTTAGCTTCATTTTGTACAAATTTGGTCACAGATTCTTGAGACAAATTTACGAGACACGTATTTTTTATTTTGTTCAATATTCTTTAAAGTATTTAAATCGTTTGAAAATCAACGAAAAATTCATACTAGAGGTGCAAATGTTAAAATTTAATAATATTTTAATAAACTTTATACTAAAATATGCTGTTAATTGTTTTATAAGAAGTAACAAGTAACTCAAAGAATTTGGATATATTCAGAAAGTTACAGCCCCTTGAAAGACGCCCATAAAAATAGTCTTTTTCTTATTATAGTATCTTAGAACCCTGTTGTATGAGAATCACTAAATTTGTTTATAGGGGTTTTATGACTATTAAATTTGAATCTGATAGTGTTACAGTTTTTGGCTCCTTAAGACACTTTTTCAAAGGGTCCCTTGTCTTTGGAGCTGCAAAACTTTGGTTGCGTATTTGAATTTCTTAAAAATTATTAGCCCGTAAGGAAGCCCATTTAAACTTTTTTGTGTAATGAAATTTTTCTGTAAAAATCACTGTTTTCCATAAAATTGGCGAATACATATCGAGAATCGTATAAAATTCTCACGTGTTAATCGTAGGTGGCTGGTACTTCATGTGACAAACAAATTTATTTTCGGACAGACCATTAATCAGTTGTCAGATCTTTTGTTTTTCTCAAAAAAAAGGTAAGATTTTTCTTGCAAGAAAAAGTCTAAATGCACCTTATTTACTTAATATACTATTATATTCGATGTTTTCGCGTGTGCACCGGCAATTTATGAAGAAGGGTAAGAAGAACCAATGCAGGAAGACGTTAAGAATAATAAACATAAAAACCATTGTTATTGTAAAGTTTTTATTAAGTTATTATTAACAGTTCGGTTCCTTAAAGAAGTAATCAATTATAATTTATTATAAATGTAAAACGAGTTCAAACTGTGAACCGGTTTGTTCAGCACAAGACCGTAAACGTTTTGAAAAATGTTGACGTATTTTCTCATAAATGTTGTGTAGGGTTTCTGCCCCAAGAATTCTCAAGACCAGAATCGGAAAATAAAATCTTGAGAATTTAGACTCTCTGGCATTATTTTGAATCTGAAACCAGGACAAGGGCAAGCGGCGCATGCCATGCGCATTACATAGTCAGCACAGCGGGTTGTTGTAGCATATTCTGTCAATAAATAACATCAATCTTAAATTATTGATTTTTTGTAGCTGGGCTGCTTTTGCATTATACGCCTCAAATTTAGAATATAGGTATTACATTTTCCATTATTGAAAATTTTGACTGAGACTAGAAAATTTGATTTCTTATTATTTGGTAGTTTACACATAAGAAACCAAAACAAAGTATAGTCAACGACAGAAATTATATATAACATAATATTAATACGTTTATTACTTAAGCTTTTGGACGCATAAAATTTCACTTTCATAATAAAAATTATTATGATATATATATTAGGAAGAGAAGATAGCAGGAGGATAGTAGCAGGAGAACTTACTGAAAACTGAACTCAAAAATAAGCATTTTTTTTATTCGTTAAAAACGAATTTCAGTTTTTTTGGTACTTTTTTATAC